CTATGCAACTTAAAGCATTGGGAATCGAGATGTGATAAAGATTTTTTTTTTCAGGTGAACTCATCAAATGAATTCAAAACTAAGGCTCGCTTGTTAATAAGTCAAGTCCATAGCAACGACATTCTTTTAAAAGACGACACAATGTGAAAAACAACTTTGTACGAAATGAAAATATATGTTCTTTGATAAGGAAGAAACTGATTTAAGTTGACACTAACGCAACATAGCAAGGTGCGCAATAAAAAGTAAAAAAAAAATATTTAAACTGTGATTACAGCGTCCAACAAGAAATTAATACAAATGCCAAGACAAGCTATGCAAATACATTTCTTTTTTTCTAAAATTAAAAGTCTATCTTTTGATGAACTATGTTGCCAAAATAAATTAACTAATAAAGATCTGTTTGCTGATAAAAGTCTGGTAAACCACAGGAACGTTTGATATCGGCTAAGAGATTTTTAACTAATCTAATAACATTTAGGAAACAATGCTAAAACTAAAATTTTTTAAGTAAGAAAATCAAACTCAAAGGGGATGAATTAATAAAAAAATCCGCCTATTAAAATACAACAAGAAAAGATCGACATAGAGCTGGTGCTGATATGAAACTGTATTGTTAATAAAGACAATTAGTAAGTAATCATGCTTAGCTAAATGCTTAAGTACCTAAAAATAGTTCTAGAGAAAAAAACTCAGTATTATGGTGTTTCAACGGCTATTTGGAACATTATAATACACTTTCATCATGAACTGAAGATAAAAAAGACCAACTTGCTTATAGAAGCATTTGGCACGGTCCATTACCTTTTTTTTTATTCTTTCAACGCATTATGATAATGATAGAATTATAGGATAGCTTATTTAAAAAAGGAGAGAATGATAATATTATGATTAAAGGTGAATTAAAGACTGTAACTATGGCATCAAGTGTTGGAAATGAAACTAACAATGCAGATTTGCTTATCACCAGCAAAACCGATATTAATCGTGTAGATGAAGATGAAGGTAAAGCGTTTCTCCTTTCTTAAAAAATGGAGATGATAAAATAGTGGAGTTACTTATCAGAGGCGGAGCTGATATTAATCATGTAAATAACAAAGGTTTGAATGCTTTAATGGTTGCATCATGTAATTCACACGACAAAGTAGTAGAGCTACTTATCACTAGCGGAGCTGATATTAAACGCGTGGATAAAGATGGATGGGATGCTTTAATGATTGCATCACGTAATTCACACGACAAAGTAATGCTTGCTTCACAGAATGGACATGACAAAGTAGTAGAGTTACTTATCAACGGCGGGGCTGATATTAAACGTGTAAAAGCAGATGGATGGGATGCTTTAATGCTTGCATCAAGACATGGACATGAAAAAGTAGTAGAGTTGCTTATCAACAGCGGTGCTGATTTTAAAAGAGTGGATAACGATGGACGGGATGCATTAATGCATGCATCAAGTGATGGACATGAAAAAGTAGTAGAGTTGCTTATCAACAGTGGTGCTGATTTTAAAAGACTGGATACAGATGGATGGGATGCTTTAATGCTTGCTTCAGGGTATGGACATTACAAAATAGTAGAGCTACTTATCAACGGCGGTGCAGATATTAAACGTGTTGAACCAGATGGAGTAGATGCTTTAATGATTGCATCACTGATTGGACATGACAAATTAGTAGAGTTACTTATCAACGGCGGTGCAGATATTAAACGCGTGGGTAAAGATGGATGGGATGCTTTAATGCTTGCTTCAGATAATGGACATGACAAAGCAGTAGAGTTGCTTATCAACTGCGGGGCTGATATTAAACGTGTAAAAGCAGATGGATGGGATGCTTTAATGCTTGCTTCAAAGAATGGACATGACAAAGTAGTAGAGTTACTTATCAACGGCGGGGTAGATATTAATCATGTAACCAATATAGGATCGGATGCTTTAATGCTTGCATCAAGTGATGGACATGAAAAAGTTGTAGAGTTACTTATCAACATCGGTGCTGATTTTAAAAGAGTTGATGAAAATGGATGGGATGCTTTAATGCTTTCATCAAATGATGGACATGAAAAAGTAGTAGAGTTGCTTATCAACAGCGGTGCTGATTTTAAAAGAGTGGATACAGATGGATGGGATGCTTTGAAACTTGCTTCAGGGTATGGACATGACAAAGTAGTAGAGTTACTTATCAACTGCGGGGCTGATGTTAATCATGTAACCAATATAGGATCGGATGCTTTAATGCTTGCATCAAGACATAGACATGAAAAAGTAGTAGAGTTGCTTATCAACAACGGTGCTGATTTTAAAAGAGTGGATAAAGATGGACGGGATGCATTAATGCTTGCATCAAATGATGGACATGACAAAGTAGTAGAGTTGCTTATCAATAGCGGTGCTGATTTTAAAAGAGTGGATACATATGGATGGGATGCTTTAATGCTTGCATCAAGTGATGGACATGACAAAGTAGTAGAGTTACTTATCAACGGCGGTGCAGATATTAAAGGCGTGGGTAAAGATGGATGGGATGCTTTAATGCTTGCATCAATTAATGGACATGAAAAAGTTGTAGAGTTATTTATCAACGGCGGGGCTGATATTAAACGTGTAAAAGAAGATGGATGGGATGCTTTAATGCTTGCTTCAGATAATGGACATGACAAAGTAGTAGAGTTACTTATCAACTGCGGGGCTGATTTTAAAAGAGTGGATACATATGGATGGGATGCTTTAATGCTTGCATCAAGCAATGGACATGAAAAAGTAGTAGAGTTGATTATCAACAGCGGTGCTGATTTTAAAAGAGTGGTTACAGATGGATGGGATGCTTTAATGCTTGCATCAAGCAATGGACATGAAAAAGTAGTAGAGTTGCTTATCAACAGCGGTGCTGATTTTAAAAGAGTGGTTACAGATGGATGGGATGCTTTAATGCTTGCATCAAACAATGGACATGAAAAAGTAGTAGAGTTGATTATCAACAGCGGTGCTGATCTTAAAAGAGTGGATACAGATGGATGGGATGCTTTAATGCTTGCTTCAGGGTATGGACATTACAAAATAGTAGAGCTACTTATCAACGGCGGTGCAACATTACAAAATAGTAGAGCTACTTATCAACGGCGGTGCAGATATTAAACGTGTTGAACCAGTTGGAGTGGATGCTTTAATGATTGCATCAAGCAATGGACATGAAAAAGTAGTAGAGTTGCTTATCAACAGCGGGGCTGATATTAAACGTGTAAAAGCAGATGGATGGGATGCTTTAATGCTTGCTTCAAAGAATGGACATGACAAAGTAGTAGAGTTACTTATCAACGGCGGGGTAGATATTAATCATGTAACCAATATAGGATCGGATGCTTTAATGCTTGCATCAAGTGATGGACATGAAAAAGTTGTAGAGTTACTTATCAACGGCGGGGCTGATATTAAACGTGTAAAAGCAGATGGATGGGATGCTTTAAAGCTTGCATCAAGACATGGACATGAAAAAGTTGTAGAGTTACTTATCAACGGCGGGGCTGATATTAAACATGTAAAAGAAGATGGATGGGATGCTTTAATGCTTGCTTCAGATAATGGACATGACAAAGTAGTAGAGTTACTTATCAACTGCGGGGCTGATTTTAAAAGAGTGGATACATATGGATGGGATGCTTTAATGCTTGCATCAAGCAATGGACATGAAAAAGTAGTAGAGTTGCTTATCAACTGCGGGGCTGATATTAAACGTGTAAAAGCAGATGGATGGGATGCTTTAATGCTTGCTTCAAAGAATGAACATGACAAAGTAGTAGAGTTACTTATCAACGGCGGGGTTGATATTTATCATGTAACCAATAGAGGATCGGATGCTTTAATGATTGCATCAAGAGATGGACATGAAAAAGTAGTAGAGTTGCTTATCAACATCGGTGCTGATTTTAAAAGAGTTGATGAAAATGGATGGGATGCTTTAATGCTTTCATCAAATGATGGACATGAAAAAGTAGTAGAGTTGCTTATCAACAGCGGTGCTGATTTTAAAAGAGTGGATACAGATGGATGGGATGCTTTGAAACTTGCTTCAGGGTATGGACATGACAAAGTAGTAGAGTTACTTATCAACTGCGGGGCTGATGTTAATCATGTAACCAATATAGGATCGGATGCTTTAATGCTTGCATCAAGACATAGACATGAAAAAGTAGTAGAGTTGCTTATCAACAACGGTGCTGATTTTAAAAGAGTGGATAAAGATGGACGGGATGCATTAATGCTTGCATCAAATGATGGACATGACAAAGTAGTAGAGTTGCTTATCAATAGCGGTGCTGATTTTAAAAGAGTGGATACATATGGATGGGATGCTTTAATGCTTGCATCAAGTGATGGACATGACAAAGTAGTAGAGTTACTTATCAACGGCGGTGCAGATATTAAAGGCGTGGGTAAAGATGGATGGGATGCTTTAATGCTTGCATCAATTAATGGACATGAAAAAGTTGTAGAGTTATTTATCAACGGCGGGGCTGATATTAAACGTGTAAAAGAAGATGGATGGGATGCTTTAATGCTTGCTTCAGATAATGGACATGACAAAGTAGTAGAGTTACTTATCAACTGCGGGGCTGATTTTAAAAGAGTGGATACATATGGATGGGATGCTTTAATGCTTGCATCAAGCAATGGACATGAAAAAGTAGTAGAGTTGATTATCAACAGCGGTGCTGATTTTAAAAGAGTGGTTACAGATGGATGGGATGCTTTAATGCTTGCATCAAGCAATGGACATGAAAAAGTAGTAGAGTTGCTTATCAACAGCGGTGCTGATTTTAAAAGAGTGGTTACAGATGGATGGGATGCTTTAATGCTTGCATCAAACAATGGACATGAAAAAGTAGTAGAGTTGATTATCAACAGCGGTGCTGATCTTAAAAGAGTGGATACAGATGGATGGGATGCTTTAATGCTTGCTTCAGGGTATGGACATTACAAAATAGTAGAGCTACTTATCAACGGCGGTGCAGATATTAAACGTGTTGAACCAGTTGGAGTGGATGCTTTAATGATTGCATCAAGAAATGGACATGAAAAAGTAGTAGAGTTGCTTATCAACAGCGGGGCTGATATTAAACGTGTAAAAGCAGATGGATGGGATGCTTTAATGCTTGCTTCAAAGAATGGACATGACAAAGTAGTAGAGTTACTTATCAACGGCGGGGTAGATATTAATCATGTAACCAATATAGGATCGGATGCTTTAATGCTTGCATCAAGTGATGGACATGAAAAAGTTGTAGAGTTACTTATCAACGGCGGGGCTGATATTAAACGTGTAAAAGCAGATGGATGGGATGCTTTAAAGCTTGCATCAAGACATGGACATGAAAAAGTTGTAGAGTTACTTATCAACGGCGGGGCTGATATTAAACATGTAAAAGAAGATGGATGGGATGCTTTAATGCTTGCTTCAGATAATGGACATGACAAAGTAGTAGAGTTACTTATCAACTGCGGGGCTGATTTTAAAAGAGTGGATACATATGGATGGGATGCTTTAATGCTTGCATCAAGCAATGGACATGAAAAAGTAGTAGAGTTGCTTATCAACTGCGGGGCTGATATTAAACGTGTAAAAGCAGATGGATGGGATGCTTTAATGCTTGCTTCAAAGAATGAACATGACAAAGTAGTAGAGTTACTTTTCAACGGCGGGGTTGATATTAATCATGTAACCAATATAGGATCGGATGCTTTAATGCTTGCATCAAGTGATGGACATGAAAAAGTTGTAGAGTTACTTATCAACGGCGGGGCTGATATTAAACGTGTAAAAGCAGATGGGTGGGATGCTTTAATGCTTGCATCAAGACATGGACATGAAAAAGTTGTAGAGTTACTTATCAACGGCGGGGCTGATATTAAACGTGTAAAAGAAGATGGATGGGATGCTTTAATGCTTGCTTCAGATAATGGACATGACAAAGTAGTAGAGTTACTTATCAACGGCGGTGCTGATATTAAAGGCGTGGGTAAAGATGGATGGGATGCTTTAATGCTTGCATCAAGCAATGGACATGAAAAAGTAGTGGAGTTGCTTATCAACAGCGGTGCTGATTTTAAAAGAGTGGATACAGATGGATGGGATGCTTTAATGCTTGCTTCAGGGTATGGACATTACAAAATAGTAGAGCTACTTATCAACGGCGGTGCAGATATTAAACGTGTTGAACCATTTGGAGTGGATGCTTTAATGATTGCATCAAGCAATGGACATGACAAAGTAGTAGAGTTGCTTATCAACTGCGGGGCTGATATTAAACGTGTAAAAGCAGATGGAGGGGATGCTTTAATGCTTGCTTCAAAGAATGGACATGACAAAGTAGTAGAGTTACTTATCAACGGCGGGGTTGATATTAATCATGTAACCAATATAGGATCGGATGCTTTAATGCTTGCATCAAGTGATGGACATGAAAAAGTTGTAGAGTTACTTATCAACGGCGGGGCTGATATGCTTGCATCAAGCAATGGACATGACAAAGTAGTAGAGTTGCTTATCAACTGCGGGGCTGATATTAAACGTGTAAAAGCAGATGGATGGGATGCTTTAAAACTTGCTTCAGGGTATGGACATTACAAAATAGTAGAATTACTTATCAACGGCGGTGCAGATATTAAACGCGTGGGTAAAGATGGATGGGATGCTTTAATGTTTACTTCAAAGAATGGACATGACAAAGTAGTAGAGTTGCTTATCAACAGCGGTGCTGATTTTAAAAGAGTGGATACATATGGATGGGATGCCTTAATGCTTGCTTCAAAGAATGGACATGACAAAGTAGTAGAGTTGCTTATCAACGGCGGGGCTGATATTAAACGTGTTAAAGCCGATGGATGGGATGCTTTAATGATTGCATCAAAGAATGGACATAACAAAGTAGTAGAGTTACTTATCACCGGCGGGGCTGATATTAATCATGTAACCAATATAGGATCGGATGCTTTAATGATTGCATCAAGAAATGGACATGACAAAATAGTAGAGTTGCTTATCAACGGCGGTGCTGATATTAATAATGTAACCAATAAAGGATGGGATGCTTTAATGATTGCATCAAGACATGGACATGAAAAAGTAGTAGAGTTGTTAATCAACTGCGGTGCTGATTTTAAAAGAGTGGAAAAAGATGGATGGGAGGCTTTACTGCATGCATCAAGTGATGGACATGAAAAAGTAGTAGAGTTACTTATCAACGGCGGGGCTGATATTAAACGTGTAAAAGCAGATGGATGGGGTTCTTTAATGTTTGCTTCAAAGAATGGACATGACAAAGTAGTAGAGCTACTTATCAACGGTGGGGCTGATATTAATCATGTAACCAATAGAGGATCGGATGCTTTAATGATTGCATCAAGAGATGGACATGAAAAAGTAGTAGAGTTGCTTATCAGCAGTGGTGCTGATTTTAAAAGAGTGGATAAAGATGGGCGGGATGCTTTAATACTTGCTTCAGTGAATGGACATTACAAAATAGTAGAGTTACTTATCAACGGCGGGGCTGATATTAATCATGTAACCATTATAGGATCGGATGCTTTAATGCTTGCATCAAGTGATGGACATGAAATAGTTGTAGAGTTACTTATCAACGGCGGGGCTGATATTAAACGTGTAAAAGCAGATGGATGGGGTGCTTTAATGCTTGCTTCAAAGAATGGACATGACAAAGTAGTAGAGCTACTTATCAACGGCGGGGCTGATATTAATCATGTAACCAATAGAGGATCTGATGCTTTAATGATTGCATCAAGCAATGGACATGAAAAAGTAGTAGAGTTGCTTATCAACAGCGGTGCTGATTTTAAAAGAGTGGATACATATGGATGGGATGCTTTAATGCATGCTTCAGGGAATGGACATTACAAAACAGTAGAGTTACTTATCAACGGCGGTGTAGATATTAAACGTGTTCAACCAGATGAATTGGATGCTTTAATGATTGCATCAAATGAAGGACATGAAAAAGTAGTAGAGTTGCTTATCAACAACGGTGCTGATTTTAAAAGAGTGGATATATATGGAAGGGATGCTTTAATGTTTGCTTTAAAAAAAGGTCATGATAACATTCTACATTTATTGCTTAAAAAAGTTCTTCTAATACAAGTAACTGAAAAATCAAGCGATTTAAGTCCAATACCAATTAATAGGAATACTTATGTGGCTAATAAAAAATATCTTAGAAAATACATCGCTATTTATTTATTAGATATATTATTACAAGCTTTTGAAAACAAACTCTATAATACATTGGAAAAAATGTCTATTTTTGTCGACGAAAATTGTAGAGAACTGAATTTTAAATTCCAGTTAAAACGTTTTTGTAAATTTATTTTACAAGGTAAGCAGTACATTTAATATATTTTTGAAACGTTTGTATGTTATCATACCTCTATCAGTTAAGTATCAGTTAAGTATTTAAAGAGATAGTGTCTTTAGCTTTATGCCTAGGTGCGATGAATTTTCCTATTGTGTGTTAGGTATCATTTCACTTGCCCCAAAGAACGTCAGTTATTAAAGTGAACTTTACTTTTACTCTACTACATAGACATTAAAACCCTCAGTCAACCACCCACATACATCACACACATACACAATGTAGACCAAATTGCATACGAACATGCTCAGCACCTTAAAGTTTTCGGTTATATCTATATGAGAATGTAACAGTTTGATGCAAATCTGCAAACAATACCGTATTATTAAATCAAAGTTATAATCTCTATAGTGTTTAATGCATTTATGTTTCTCTTAACCCGGATATTTAAAGATATATCGCCTCGTACATCACTGTATAATCGAAACCGGAGGTGGAAATGTAGTGGAGGTGGGTTGATGGTGTGGGGTTTGGTTTGGGGGTTATGGTATCGTGTGTGTTGTTGTGCTTTCTCTAAAACTTCCCCTGCTTTGTAATACCTACTATTGAGAAATAAATGTTTATTTTACAAGAATTTCAAACGTGCAGCTGTTTTAAATAAAGTACTATTATTTTCTATCATTTAATACTTTTATTCCGGAGCATCATACCGTAGCGAAGCACGGGTATGAGCTAGTGGATATATAAGGTAGAGTAGTGGGACCATGGAGAATTGGGACTCTTCAAATTTCGGAATCTGTGCAGCAAAATGTTGATGTATCCGCATTAAACATGAAACTAAAGACACATCTCTTTTAATAACTTATTTCCAGCTTCAGCTGATTGTTAGTTTGATTTGCACAGAGAAGTGCCTAACATTTTTTTTGTATATTTACAATCCTTTAAACACGGTGAACATTTGTGTCCTCTTTCCGATCCTTTTATTAGAGTACGTTCTTTAATAATGTAATTACATTATTCGTGTACGTTTTGTGCTTATTAACAACTAAGATTTATAGCAAATACTATGCCACAAACTAGCTGTAAACATGGTAAGGGGTGTAAGCAGGCGTTGTAACTGAAATAGCAATATAAACATAAAGTGATATTTCAACGCCAAGGGTAGACAAAGGTACAGAATATAGTCCAAGTAAAGACAGAACAGACAGACCCGACGGGTTCCGAACCTACCATTCCACACGGCACCAAATCGCCTCGCCTTCCATGCCTCAAGTCAGACGTGTAACCGATTCTACCAATCAGCTCTACAAAAAATAGAGCTTTCTTGGCAGACCACTATCATAGCATGTGACACGGAAGACGCGGGCTGGCGTGACCTCTGAACCCTAAAGGGTCTGACCGCTAGCCTCATAAACACAACAAGGACTATTATTCGACCAGACAAGCGACACAAGTATAGGGACGACGATACCAGGTTTACAGTATACCCATTCAAGGAAGCTACTATTTGTCTGTATCGTCGGTTACACGTCTGACTTGAGGCATGGAAGGCGAGGCGATTTGGTGCCGTGTGGAATGGTAGGTTCGGAACCCGTCGGGTCTGTCTGTTCTGTCTTTACTTGGACTATTTTCTGTACCTTCGCTTTGTCTACCCTTGGCGTTGAAATATCACTTTATGTTTATATTGCTATTTCACAAACTAGCTTTGGTGAGAAGTGAGACACCATGTACATTACACACTCAAGCCCTTTAGTATATCATATTAAGTTGTTATTTTAATGAAATAGTTTCATTTTTACAGTCAAGTATGTATCCTACATAGTGTTTATTGAAACTACAAACCATCTATTGTTTTTAAAAAATGACATTACTGTCCAAGTTCTTCTTTTGCATGTCCCACTTCTCAATGTCATGATGACTAATAAAGTTTGTGTCATAAACGTGTATGTATACTAACTGGAGTGTTAACGGCGATATCCAAACTTAAACGATTGCATATATAAATTATTCGACAAGGTTAGGACAATTTTAGACAGATACAATTGTTTATAACGATTTGCTTATCATCAAGCTAACAGTATAGTTTGGTATTTAAATTTGGAGAATATAATTTCAAAATTTAAATGTGTATTCTACATAGAAATATATTAATAAGTCATGTGTCGTATCAAATACCTAGCATTAAAACAAGATGTACAAAATGACACCAAAACACAACTGAGCGACTCAACAGTCAGTGAACTAAACAATATAAAATTCAAGAATTTTAAGAAGTAAGTAATTTGTATTGTTTAAAGTAAGATGTCTGGACATTTTCATTTGTAAAGCTACATTTAAATTATAATTTACTATTAAATAAAGTCTCAAAAATTAAATATGCAAAATAACTAAAATTATAAATTATATACATCGCCTCATAAACGTTAAATAGCCCTACATGAATTTCACTACACTCTAAAGACAGAATTAAAAATATGTATATTTTCTCACAAATAAGGTACACACAGACAAACAAACCCTTAATCCTACTGTCAATTGGGTCTACTATAAATGTATCAATTCACAAATACCACGAGATTAACCCGTTCATCCTGACAAGCAACCGTATTCAATCTGGGAGCACGACATTGTCCTTACCAATATCACTATATCACCATCTGATCATTAACTGATTATCTATTGTCCAACAAAATGATCAAGCTTAATTTTACTCCACTGTCGACATCAAATTTAGGCCAATCTCGAGAAGGATCATGATCAATATTACCTTCATGATCAGGGTCGTAATGACATTATACCTTGATTTTAAACATAATGTGTATTGTTCTAAATTGGAAAACTTTGCAAAGATATGTTCAATGTATCAATATGTCAGGTGTATCTTTGTGTCTCTTTATATACATCACTACATCCCTCTTTTCACATAATGCCAATCAAGTACCTAAATAGTTTTTCAGCATATCGATTAAAAAAAAGAAACAAACACAGAAACATATAAGTAGTCAGTTTAATCATATTGCATTTACTATGTCTATATATATTGTTTTATAAATTAGGTCCTTCGATTGTTATGTACAGATTGCAGTTCTCGCTCACAATGAACAGGTATGTAGTTTTTATTTTATATATAACTCATAAACACAAAATACATGTTGAAAATCCAATTAAAAAAAAAAAAACAACCGATGGAAATTACATGCTCTATTATGGCACCATAAATAGTGGATTTGTTGTTAGGTTCATGTATGTCAATGCGCTATTTGACAACTGGTTTGTTGTATGGGAACATTTTCAATTGAGACTTAGATATCAGTTATACTGATATTCAGATTGCGTGTCTAATTCAGAGTGAAAATATGTTTTGCCTTTAAGGCAAGTCGGGTCTTGGCTAGTCTCTCTAAGACTTTGATAAATACATTTTTCTACTCAAAATTAAATAATCTACATATTATTATTTTCTGTTTTTAAGGATAGACAGCAAGGATTTAAAAAAATAACACAAAAATAATATATAGCCGCCAATAACAGTACTGGTTGCCATGGAAACCGCGAAAAGGTGTGAAACTAACACCTTTTAAAACCTTAAAACCTCTAATGACTTTGTTTTCGTAGAAGATTTTTAAAAGATGATAAAAGATTTAGATTTCTAAATCAAAACTATACATGTCTCTGTATATTTACTGCGATAGCTCGTACTCAATTTCCAATACAAATTTTACGTACATTTATGTACAAAAATTAGTGGGTGGTGCTACATAAATATCAATATTGCCTAAAGTATTGTAGTGAAAGAAATGTAAAAACTTTGTTTTGTAGAAGGAATGATGCTAAATGGCATATTTCAGTCTTGTATGAAAAAGGATTCCAAAGCCTTAGCGATTTGAATGTTTTATTTTTAGTAAACATGCAAAGTTGAGAAAAGAAGTGCGGTAAAAACTAAAAGACACTGTGCGTTTCCTTTTATGGATCACAGAGAAAAAATACGTCTTTTTATGTGTGGAAGAACCATTTGACTAAGTACGCACTGATTTATGTTGTAAGTTTTAGGCATATTTTTCTGTGTAAACAGAAAATATGTATACAAAGGTTATGAATTAATAACTATTAAGTATTACACGTCCTATCAATCGAGTGTTATTCTGAGAACAGCTAGCATCAAACCAGATGAGGTTTTGTTTGTTAGCCGGTCTTCTAACTTCAATACAATAACTATCCCCACATAAATTGTAGCTTACATAAGTTTATTGCCTTATGATGATAGCCTACTGGGTACAGCGCTTGAGGCTAGACACGACCCCAATCCCACACCTCCACCGCTGGTGATCCAATGAGGCATAGATTACGTATGTTTATTGAACCGTGAATAACATCTGTGTAGATAGGGTCAAGCACTAGATTTCCGTGCTATCCCATCTAGTACTTACATCAGTAGCTAGCACACCCTTCACGGACCGAAGGGCATACACATTAACACATGTGTCGTTTACAGTCCGATGTAAAGTCTGATGAATGAGCTCAAACCTATCACAGCATGATGTAAAATGATTATAAACTGGCCGTTGGTTGAATAGCTAGAAGGGGATGATGGGGGTAAAGGGGATGGACAGCAGATTCATCAAACTGACAGACATGTCCATGACGCCTTGTTTCAGCTTTGTAAAAAGCGTACCAAACCATGTTTAATAGTGTTCCAATGACAATAAACAGTGCACTTCTTGGCAAAGTTTTAATAATTAACCTAAATGTTGTATAATTTTAAAACAGAAAAGTATATGCAAAAAGTAAACAAACGAAGACGGGCGATCATTTTTTTAATCTAGAAACAAGATGGCTGCCTAGCACACGTCGTTAGTTGCCACCTATCGTGAATTATTTTGATTTACTGTACTATAATATGATTGGTCAACCGTATCAATGCATCTTTTCCCATTCATTACTTTTACGTGCATGTCCTATTTGGGGATTGATATCAAACTTTACTTTGTAGAAAACAACTTTTATCCCACTTATTGTTAGAACACTAGTGCTTGGCCCTTAGATTGCTGTAAAGTTTATGGTTCCCCGCGGGCAATAAATGATGTAATACCCGCTCGAAAATAGCCGCTCTCCGCGTTGTATAGTAAACATTTGCTGGGGTGTACCCTGTTTCACATCCAAATAAAAGAATATCCGTGGGCTGTAGAAGTTCGGAATGCTCGGGTTAGATGGATAAAATGTATTAGTACTGAACTAAGAAATAAAAATTTTGATGAGCAAAATTGTTTTTAGTCGAAAACATGTGTATCTTGTATCCTTAAAAAGCCGCGAAAGGACAAGTTTCTAAATTTCATTTTTTTTTCAAGTGCTATTTAACATTAAAACAGAGTTACCATTGTATTACAGACTGTAAGTATAATATAGACTTGGAGAACATTTTAGTACAACCCATGCAGTGGCGGAACTAGAAAAAATGGGCCACCCCGCAAAAAATTTTTTTGGGCCCCCCATATATGTATATATATATATATATATATATATATATATATATATATATATATATATATATATATATATATATATATATATATATATATATATATATATATATATATATATATATATATATATAAAAACACAATACGAACATAGATAGGATACTCATTTCTGGCCTGATCGGGTTTTGAAAAAAAAAATTCAATTAAATCTAATCACAACAACATGTCATGTGTATCAGTGGCGGAACTAGAAAAAAAGCCCCCCCCCCCCCCGAAGAATTTTTTTTGGGCCCCTATATATATATATATATATATATATATATATATATATATATATATATATATATATATATATATATATATATATATATATATAAACAAGGTTCGCTCTCAATTTAAAAAAAATTCCATCTGGTACACGAATAAATCAGAGGTTTTCCAACACACGAGCTGGTCCCTTTCTAAATCTAGATCTAGTCCAACACACCAAACTGAGGCTTTCATCAAAACGTTACTAACCGTGTGCCCTGTTTTCCAGAAGTTGAATTAAATGTTAAGAATGTCGGCAGTTCATTTCTTGGATCTTAGGGCGCGGGTTTGTCCACACTACCAACTAGACACGCCAAGGCATGCTGTAAATCCCTCGGCGACGGCCCAGGTGTCAGGGAAGTCACGGGGCTCTTGGAGCTACCGCTACATTACTGCACGGGTGATGGGTGTGACACATTGTTTCTTCCGGCAGAGCTCCCCCCTCCCCTCCCCCGAAAACAGTCTACCCTGGAAGAAACATTGGTGCGACACCTAATTAGATTTAGTCATCGAGTGTTGTAGCGAGACTTATTCTTAGTGTTGTGGAAACTTTTAAACGACTGTCTGTGGGGGCCAACTTGCTCATATGTGATGCGCTCAGGATGACACTGACGCCGGTTGTATTCAAGTAGTAACCTCATCCGCTTATGCAGGATCACGGGGCGCTAAATCACATATTTCCGTTAGGAGTCCCCACTCAAATATGTACAAATGTTAGGCCTATGACAGAAACCTTTGCGGGGCTGTACTCAACAGCTTCCCAAGTTTTCATGGCGATTGGGTGAATGATGCAGTAATGCATAATAATAATAGAGAGAAAAATGTTTTTCACATGTACAACTGTATGTGGCCAGGTCACGCGTTGGATAACCTTCTGATTTAGGGGAGGGGGGGGGGATTAACAAAAAGCCAGACCCTCACACACCCCACCTCTATGACTATTAATAATTTTCAATTAATTCTAAATGTTCTAATAAATTTCTAAATAATTATATAAAAAATAATCTTACCTGCCCTGCTTTGTGAATTAGATGTGCCTAATACTATGAAAGTAAATTAATATGTGTTGACTAGATCTAGTGCTGTCTAGTGTCTGACAAAATGTGCTGAAGTGGTAAATCGTACGGTTAGGAAGTAGTTTATAAACGATACACTTATCTCCTCGATACTTGTGAGGTTGAGAAAGAGGGATGGGATAGGGGTCGGCTCGGGAAAAAACTTGAAAGGGACAACAAAACGCCTTGATCTATGTACGTCAGCATCGCCCATTGTAAAACTTACTCAGGGGAGATAATTTGAAGTATAGGCCTTACAAGTTTACTATATTTCTTGTAAAATCAAAAACAAGTAAACGTATATAAAACTGAAGTTTCTAGTATTATATTATTTTTTTAAATTATTTGTACGATACAAGATAGTACAGGATACAAATTCAACCACTATCACAAACACATATTAACTTTGAAAAATGTACAATGGATTTCGGGTCCCCTACCAATGCCGCAAGTAAGAACCGCGCATCATGAAAGTATTGAAAGCCCACTTCATATGTAGCGGCTTTTCGTGCTATGGACTTTGTTGTTTTTTTAAAAAGAATTTTGCCGGCGACAGCGTGTGTTTGATTGTAGGGAAATAGAACTCGGCCTTGACGATGGTTAAAAAATACAACTATAAATAACTGTTTTAAATATGTAAAGAATTTGTCAACAATTTTTTAACCTCCTTTTTGGTCCCCATCCCCTGCCCCATCCGCCACAGTACACTTTGGAGGATCGGTCAAACAGTTACGTGTCCTCTATTTAGCTATCAAAGGGAGGGGGGGGGGCAACGAGTCAAAGAAGTCATTCAAAATTTGAAGAGTTGCCTATATTTTACACTGTAGTTTGTGTAATGGATTTTATCTTTTGCGGAAGAGCGTGGTATAGTGACTGTAAAATAAAGATAATCGTACCGCAGCTACAAACCAAATATTAAGGCAAAAATTAAATTCAAAATAAAAAAAATTAAAAAATTTGGTCAGCCGTGGGCCCCTAAACGGCCTCCCCCCCCCCGCGCATTGCGGGGTCTGGCGGGACTGTAGTTCCGCCCCTGTTCATCAGGTAAATGAACACCTACTGACTAGTGTCTTTAACAAAATGTGCAGAAGTGGTCAGTTTACAGTTCATAGACGGTTCGTTAATCTATGCATTACATCTTATTGTAAGAGTAAGGGTGTGGTGAGGGGTAGAAGTGAGGGGTAGGGGGGAGGGGGGGAGAGAGTCGGGAAGGGAAGGGGACAAGAAAGCGACGATAAACATCTACATCAATAGTGCCGACTTTTTTCTCAAAGTCGTTTGCCGACTATCGTGTTTGTTTGTATCTGTAGAAGAAAGATAACTCGACCTCCACCTAATTTTTTTTAAAAATTTTTTTAAAAATAATTTAGCCAGGATTTTTGGGCCCCCAATAGGTCTGGGCCCCCCCGCATTGCGGGGTCTGGCGGCACTGTAGTTCCGCCCCTGAACCCATGTTATATTCTGTGTATATCTAATATTACATTAACTATTATATTTTATGTATTTCTAGTGCATATTGCCTTCTGAATGGCAACTAAATCTAATTTAGGATATTGACAGTGAAGTGCCTATCATGTTTGTCATATTTCTCATTTTATATTTCTCATTTGATTTCACTTTATGATACATTATAATAGTCCTTTATATTGTGATGTTACAATGTTCACAAATTTTTGTGAAACTATATTTTCAAAGCAGCGTCTAACAAATTGCCTTAAGTTAAATACGCAACCAAAACATAATAGTAGCCTACAAGTTTAAACTCTCTCTCTCTATATACGGAAACCGGCTCAGAAGTTTGACTTCCATTAGCCAGGCAGGCCGCAGTGTAGCAAACTCCGACACATGGTGGTAGTAGCAATTCGTTTAGTGTCGGTTTGATCGCTACACGTCGGTCGCTTCTCCGTCGGCTCTCACCGGGCTTTCCTTCCCCACCAACAAGACGCAGGACGTCGTCCTACAGCCTGGTACCCAGCTTGATCGTGGAGGGCGTTCGGCCAGATCAAAAACCTCTTGCTGCGGTTAGCTAACAATAGCCATTTAGCATCTAGGGGGGGGGGGGAGGGGGTCAAGTTTAAACCATACGAGCCGACCCGCGGCGTATCATTTAGCTGTTTTATTTTCTACATTTCAGTAATTCATAATTTGTGAATTCGACAGTGCTGCCACTGAAAATATTTTCTTTAAAACACTATCAGTAGGTCGTTAATGACGATAATCCCCCACCCTCCTTTCCCCCAACCCCAACCCCTACCCTACCCCCAACCCATACCCTACCACCCCCCCCCGTGAAAGCAGCCTCTTAGTTACTTCCCCTAAGTTTAAAATCGTTTCAAACTAATTTTCTGCCCCTAATAGCCCTCACTAAACCCTGCTCTACGAGTGTAAACATTTAGCGTGAACCACAGCTCACCAGACCCTGTGGGGTGGGGGTGGTAGGGATATGCTTAGAGAGTAAGAGAGGGGGTTGCTAGGCGCACTTACAGCTTGGTGTTTTTCTTATATTTATAGATATGAGCTTAATGACTTGTCGCACGGTAGGCGAGGCGATTTGCTGTCGTGTGGAATAGTGGGCTTTGGTTTAAAACTGCTCGTTTTTCTAGGATTTTATGTAAGCGTAAAGAGAGAATGATTGTGCACAACACTTTTATTTACTATCTGACATACTCGTGCTGAGAGCCTTTCAAACTCAAAGATCAGTCACATCGTAAATTTAATCCGACTGACAGTCTAAAGTACAGGTCAAAGGTCACAGCGGTGAGTAATGGAATATTGCGATGAAGAGGTTGGGAGAGCACACATTACGGTAAAATAGTAGTTTTACCGTTATATGTCAGACACTAAGCGCTGGTGTAATACTCTTTGTTCACAATAACTTTTGACAATAACTCTTAGGTTAGCTTTTTATACTGTGCAAGATATATATTTTTTCTAAATGGCATACCCCTGTCAATTCATGAAGTTTTACCCCGTATCTATTATTTCCCTGTTATTCCCCACGTCCCTGTGTTTGTGGGTTCGTTGTAGAACTCTAACAGTATATTTTCTAGCTTAACTTGTCATTTTATTTACTACAAATATAGTCCATTGAGGTTGAAACAATGAATAAGATCTCCACGGTTGTAATAGTTCAGTACATTGAACTACTTGAATAACACAAGACGCCAACAAAATACACGGATAATTCAAAAACGAAATGATATAGTAACAGCTTAAATTTATTATCGAGGCACACCGCTCAACCGTACGTACCCCTTTATATCGCGTTATTCATCCCCCCACACACACATACACACAACGTCAGTGAGCGAGATCACCCAAAAGCATAGAATACCATGATTAATCTCACACAATCATTCTGTTGGCTAGGTATTCTCGTTCCAAATAAAGTTCACTCCCAATGCAATATAAATACAATACACCCGAAGTACAATCTGTTACACGTCTCCCCTAAATATTACATTTTCAATATGAAGAGATCATACACCCACAACACAAAAAGTACATCTCATCTTGGAGTGAAAATAAAAACAATATAGACTGAACATTTGTAGTCATAAGCTTATATTGTAGAAAAAAATAAGCACGTTATTGTGATCATATCACTAAGAATTTTCTAATGTGTAAAAACAAATGTTAAATGAAAACGTGTTTGGACCAAAAATGTTTAAGAAACGTTCCGAAATTTCATTAAACGTTGCTTACTAATGCTTCTATAAAGAAAGCCAGTATTTTTCAGTGCATTTAAAAGCCATTACCTATCGTCCACGTGCTGTGTATTGCCCTTGCCTGGATCAAATAAATCATTTAATTTATTCATTGATATATTTATCTGTATATTTTCCATGTTAAAGTGTCTTTAATTGAATTTTTTTTCTGATTTTAAAGTATCTCTTGTACTGAAAACGAATGCGTTTATGTATTTGATTTATGTCCGTACTACGTGGCTAGTTAAGTCATTTCATCAACTGTATGTTGAGTGTCTCTGCACCTCTTTTGTATATGTAGTTTGTTTGTTAATTATATTTTTGTTCTGCTTCCTTGCACTCTGGATGTCCTTGCTACTTTAATTGTAAATTATTTTAATACATGCAAGCGTTGCCTCGGAGTTAGAAGAGAGAGAGTTACCACACACACAATCATGCACACACACACATACATACGCACACACACACGCATACAGACACACAAACACGGGATCCCGTCTGGGTTCTGACTGTTCTGTCTTTACTTGGACTATATTCTGTACCTTTGTCTACCCTTGGCGTTGAAATATTAATTTCTGTTTACATTGCTATTTCAGTTACAACGCCTGCTTCCACCCCTCACCATGTTTACACTATACCCATTTAAGGAAGCTACTATTTGTCTGTATCGTCGTCCCTGTATTTGTGTCGCCTGTGTGGTCGAATAATGGTCCTTGTTGTGTGTATGAGGCTAATGGTCAGTCCCATTCGGGGTTCAGAGGTCACGCCAGCCCGCGTCTTCCGTGAACAAGTTGTTGATAGTGCTCGGCCATGACAGCTTTATTTTTGTAAAGCTGATTGGCTGAATCGGTTACACGCCTGACTTGATGCATGGAGGACTTGATGCATGGAATGGTAGGTTCGGATCCCGTCTGGGTTCTGACTGTTCTGTCTTTACTTGGACTATATTCTGTACCTTTGTCTACCCTTGGCGTTGAAATATCACTTTATGTTTACATTGCTATTACCTTTTAAGATGAAATTGTAAAGAGTCGGATTTTATTCCCTTAGTGTTTAGGGTTATAATTACTGTAGACCGATATATTTTGTGTGTGTGTTGTATCTGGTTTGTGGTTGTTGTTCTGGTTCTCGTCCTGTAAATAGTTCAATGTAACTTTTTTAACTTTTTGTAGTTTTTACTTTAAGCTTTCGATTCATGTTCTTAAATTTTTATTAAAAGTGTCTGCTTTAATATTTTAAACATTACCTGTCATGAATAAAGCTTCGAATGGTCATTTAATGTTTATGTCTTACAGTAGCCGCGTGGCATTCGTTGTTCTTCATGATGGATCTCGGCCACTTAAGCCGCCACTTCATTTTTGCACCCTATATGGAAGTCTTATTTACACCCGTGTACATCCGAAGGGGGGGGAGGGAAGGTAGAGTGACCGGACTGTGGCGTCCCTACCCTACAGGTCACATGACTCAGGCTCCGCCCTCACGACCACAGTCTGAGGTCGAGGCCCTGTCAGCGTACGTTACCGCTGGAGTCAGGTTCCAGGTGTGTACCGTTAGCTGTGGGTTAGCAAGATGGGGGGAGAGGTGGAGACACCATGATACATATTTAGAATCTATCATAACAAATATGTAAGTTCGTTCCAAGACATCCAATCATAGGGAAATCTGAGTTTAAACAGTAGCTATTAACATCGGTGTAAGACAACGACCGTGAAGCGTTTTGATTTGAATATTATCAGTTGCATGGGATCTGTTATTTGCGCTTGAGTAGTTTGCCTTTTTAGACTCAAATATACGACGTATTTATCGATCTCATTCGTTAACAACTCTTTCTTGAATTACATGTATTTGATAAAGAATTCGATACAATATATTACACATATGTAACTACAACCATGTTAACAATGTTGTTTTTATCTACAGACACCAAGCTATGATGATTTACAAGAATTTGTTTCGGATGTTATGTCGGAGTTTTCTAACATGAGAGACTTCGACGCATTACATTTCTTCATATGTCAGAGGTGTTTGAAGACAATTTACTCTACTCTAAATGAGGAAGATGAACTGAAGTTTTTCACACTACTCTTAGATCTTAACTATGCGGGTAATTTAGTTTTACAGCTTGCAGTCTTAATTAAGTAAAAGCTGTGTAACAAGACTGACAAATGGAACAGCCGGATGTTTAGGACCCTCACTACAACCTTGCAGAAGTTACTAGCATGTTGCTACTTGTATGTAAAGTCAATGACTGTGTTGCTACTTGTATGTAAAGTCACTGACTGTTGCTACTTGTATGTTAATTAAGTTAATTAAGTTACTATGTTGAAGATGAAATATTGTGTGAAAAACATATAGCACTAGACAGATTCCGGTTTATTTGACTTGGTAAAATAACTAATGTTTTATTGATGACAGCAAATCTAAATTTCAAATTTATCCCTTTTATATGCAACATTTATGATGTAACGTTTTATTATCAAAATGGCCCCGACGAAATAGCCCCGTATAGCCCCGTATAGCCGATCCGTCAAAACGCCAGTAAGAAATGGACTCTGTTGGGTTCTTCTGTCTAGGGGTATATATAGCAACAGACAAATACAACGTATACAACAGTAGATAACACTAACCTTCTATAAATATAATAATAATAATAAGATATTTAATATATATATATATATATATATATATATATATATATATATATATATATATATATATATTTATATATATATATATATATATATATATATATACAGTAATAAATAATAAAAGATCAAATGGGGTGTACAACATAAATAACAATACTCAACACCACGTTCGACGTCCACAGCCACACTACAACTAACTGATTCACACACTAGCACACGCTCTGACACCTGTCACCTGACACACCTGACGTGAACACCTCTCGCTCCATGTAAACACACTCAACCAAGGGATACAACTATACACCAAAGGGAGGGTACCTGTCGTTCCAGCACACAACACTTACACACAAGCAAGGGACATGTAAGGGACGTAACAGACCCCGTCAATTAGACTCACGACAAATAGGCTTCTGTCATCAGGACTCCTGACAAAATGTCCCGTGTCAATATGGTTCCTGTCTAGACAGAAATTCTCAAACCCTAACCCAAGTATCTGACCTCGCTTTTAAGCATCATTTATTCTCTGACTTAAATAAAACATTTTCAAAATGTTTAAAGTAGTCGCATAGCAGTTATGAGCTAAATTTATGCATGAATTTGTGTTGGTTCATGAAGTAGTTTTACATTCAGGCATTTATAAGTGGCCATATGACATATTTGACTGGAACCGAAACTCAAACATATTTATAAACAGACAAATATCCCTATTTCAATCTATATCCCTACAATAACACCTATAATTACACTAGTACTTCGTTCAGTGGCGTACACTCCACTGAAAACTAAAATTAGAATTTATGGATTATAACATAATAAATAATTTTAACTCAATGGTTAAACGATCAAAATCAGACTAAGAAATTAATAAAAGTAAAAAAAAAAATGAAGCACTTTCTTGATACATTATTGTTACAGATATAACAACGAGATGTTTAAAAGATAAAAATCTTCTGGAAACAACAGCACCAGGTTTTAGTTTGTCTTTAATTCGTGATACGATGAGTCTGTTGATGGTCGGTAGTCATGAAAGTGCAGAGTTTGCTTTGGTAATTATTGCACGATCAGTTTTTTTTTTTAAATTTATATTAAACAACAGAGTTACATAGTTAAAAAGAAATGTTATGTTAATTGGACAAAACAAAAAGAGAGTTGTTCTTTAGAAGTTCATTTAATATATAATTGTAGATTTTGGCCGAGAAGGACGCTGTAAAGGCATATACAGATATCCTCATCTCTCATAAAAACGTGCAGGTATAGTAATTTATTGATAGCATTTTTTAAATACGCACTTAGTAATTTGCTTTTATTTCTATTCATAACATACCTAGTTATTTCTTTTACATTTTTTTTTTGCTTTTATTGATGAATGAAAGTAAGGCAAATACCTAAGTTTCACAATAAAATTTAATTACATAAATCCTTATTTTTTTATTACCTAATATTTTCAGATTAATGGTTATTTATTAATTTACGTGTATGGTATAAAGTTTGCTTTAAGAACACATGTAATTTATTTGCCGAGATCAGAGCACAGATTTACTTTAAGACAACTCTTTACATTCTAGTTTAACTAATTCTTGTCAAAACCCAGTTTAACTAAAGAGAGAGCAGTCAGATGTTTAATAAGTGTGTGTATTGTTATATCATGTACACGCACACATACCGAGATGACCTATATATGAAACACATCTGCAACCCTCGCTCCAAAGTCGGATTCCACTAATTCCGTCAATAGGAATGCATTGTGTTATTTTTTGTTGTTGTCGTTTTCCAAAATTGCATAAAATATGAGTTAGACTGTCATTTCGTTGAATTATACTTTTACTGATAATGTACTGATGATGCCCAACAGTATATTGTCTTCTTCGTTTATTTCTCCGACAACAATTTGTTGTTATAATTGATTTCTATTGTCACATGACTAAATCATGATCTGCTGACTTGAGATACATCAACTTCTATTCAAACCATTAGCTGTGATGGCAAAAAATTATAATTAATGTCAATGTTTAAAATTACAGAACTCCCAATCTAAGTGGATCATTCGTCGAGTTGTTGGCATTTTATATAACATTGCCAGAAGGAAGGAAGCGAAGAAATTTTTCTCAGTAAACAATACATACGATGTAAGTAAATGGCAAAACACACTTTTTCAAACGGTGGACTAGTATAATCGTTGACTGAATCCGGGGCTCCACCAGTAGAGCACGGATGGGCACCTAGAGTTTCCCAACGGTCCCCTGTATATCAGGCGTCCTCTCATCCTTCTAATTTATTTTCTTCTGCTAGCTTACAGGACGTTCATTAGGCCACCCGGCTCTCTGATTGGTACCTGATTCAGGTTAGGGAAAGTAAAGATAGCTGAGTTAGAGCTCTCCTCACTTATACTATTTTGCTACCTTACTAAACAAGTGCTCTTCACTTCCACCTTTCAACCAGCTAGTGTATCTTGTGTAATTCATATTTTTTTTACTAATTGTTGAATAAAATTTAAATTACATTTGAAAGTACTAAATATTTTAATTTTAAATACTACAACAGACTACGTTTATCCTTTTAAATTAACATCCCTTTATAAAATCTAATGAATGTTAATGTTCACTAGGTAATTAAAAACATGGAGTTTAAAGAAGAAGCCATATCACTGATAGCAACACTTATGCTATTGCTTATAGAAGACGATTCTACCACAGATACGGAGGCAAAAAGTAATGATTTAAACTGTTTTGTGTAACATTTTAAATGGATTGTATTGATTTACTTAACTATTACACATGGTGTAAAAAATAGGCTCATGATATTATTTGTACACATATCTGTCTTAAAGTCTATATTCTTATCATTAAATTAACACCAACGTTGACTATAAATAGTAATTAGGTTATAAACAGATATACTTGTATAAATGAGTTTTTGACTTCGACAGGAAGTTGTATCTTATTACACACATTCATTTTCCCCAGATAAAACTAATTTAGGAAAAAAAATAATGTCAATAAAAGTCAATTAACCAGCAAGGGTAAAAACAAGCAAAAAATTAAATTAAACATAAAATAAACCGGGAGTGATCTCGATTATTATTATATAACACTCCGGGGGATGTCAACTCGGGATATAGGCATGATTTTTAATCCATTGTTAATTACTTTAACTTTTATTAATAGAATAGTATCTTATGGAGAAAAAATTGCGAACCAAGTGAATGGCAAACAATACGTGTATAATAGTGAAGACTAATATTAATACTTTAAAAGTTCATATGTGTTTTTTAAGGAGTCGATAACAGAGTAAGTTTATTTGCGATTCCCACTAGTAGTGAATGAACGAGCATAACAAAAAATGAGGAGTTATTACTTACTACTCCCGGTCAACATAAATTACTCAAATTTTGAAGGAAGATATAGTGGTCGGCGTGGTCTAGTCGGTAAAGCTCATGGTTGCTAAACCGAAAAGTCACGAATTCGAACCCTCGGGCAGGTGAGGCTCGTTAGCTGGGGACATCCACTCTTCTAGGAGAGACAACTCCAAAACCTTGTAGTTTGTTCTTGGTTGGACAAAGGCTATGGAAGCAAATCCAAAAAGAAAAGCAGGCTGAAATCGGAGTCAATGGCGCATAACCAGTTGACACGTAACGCTTAATTGTGTTGGAGGCGTGGTCGAGTCGGCAAAAAGCTCATGGTTGATAAATTTGAACAAAGTCTCGATTTAAAACCCACAGGCAGATAAATCTCGATCCCCTTCAACACTTATAATTAAGAACGAAGAAGAAGAAGAAGAAGAAGGAATATATAAACGTGGATGTTTTACCTACAAGTGAAATTATATTTATCCATCTCAAACAGTACTCAAGTTATAAGCTTTTGAAAAAATTGAACGTAAAATAAGTGCCACTTCTGGTTACTAGAAAGTTGATATAAAAACCTATATATGAAATATCATCCACCTAGCTGTAACGTTACTCAAGTTACCGTGTTTACAGACACACATACACACATATACACCCAGACATACGGGCAAGATTGAAAAATTATGTTTTTCCGACTCATGGAGAGGTAAAACGTCGAGATTTGCACAAATCTCGATTTATTTCTTTGCACATATACAAGACTTTCTCTATACTTCGTATACGAGAGAGTAAAAAAGAAATTCAGTGTATAGGATGTGGAATTACCCAGTTTGTGGAATTACTCCAGGTTACCCTACATCGGCGCTTTAATTAATATAGAAAGTGTCTTAATACCAACTTTACCTTAGTTATCTCTTCCGTATGAATGCTATCTTTTTAAAATACTGCATTTGTACAATGTGCGTATTAAATAAGTTAAAACAGGAAAAACAAAACGTTCTTAGCAAGAAACTTTAATGCAATATGTTACAAAGAAAAAAATACTTCATGGATATTCACGATCTGAGGTGCTTCAAGGGCTGGCTAAAATCTTAGAGCAAAATGACGACGAGTTGAATGAGGTAATCATAATTGCTTTTTTCTACTTTTAGCTAAATCTGTTCAGTTGTTGCTTCACCTGTATCCACAACTAAAAGAATCACTAACACATGCTGCTGATGTTGAACAAATATTTACAACACAATGTTTGAGAGAACTAAGTAGAAATAAAGAGGGAAGTGAGAAAATTATCTTAGATGAAGAATTAATTGACATGTTAATAAAATTAATAAACAGCCATAATGGGGATCTTTCTGCTAACGTACATTCAATATTTTGGAGAGCTGGACGTGCAACAGGAATATTGCCATCTAAAACAGGTTAATTATAATATCTGTTGTGTTTAGCTAGTATATTACCAATTTAATTAACATCATCTTATGATATTATAATGAATATTTATTAATTGTCGAGTGTCTAAGGTTTATTTGTGATAGACATGATATTTTAATACCTGTAGATATTGTGCTGTCTGATGAGTTCCCCAAGAAATTTGAAATTAAACCAAAGCCGTTAGGTCAAGGAGGTTTTGGTAGCGTCCATCTTGTTGTTGATGTTGATCAACCAGAGGATGAAAAATTTGTTGCCAAGAAAACACACGCAGACCCAAATAACCAAAAGAAGTGGATGGTACGTAGGGGCGATCATATGATGACATGCGTTAGAAATTTGTTACGCTAAATTTTAAAATGATAAAGCAGTGATGTTTCTTGTAAACATGTAGCATATCATTAAAAAGTCGATTCTCTAATTTCACAAAGTTTAATATTAGAAATTATTTATTTTATTTCTAATAACTTCTCTGATATACATCGTATATATATATATATATATATATATATATATATATATATATATATATATATATATATATATATATATATATATATATATATATATATATATATATATATATATATATATATATATATATATATATATATATATATATATATATATATATATACATGACCACAAGCACGTGTATATTTACAAATGTACACATATGTATTTATTTTTATTAGGAGAGCTTACAATCAGAGGCTTCGATATTAATTAAACTGAAACACAAAAATATCGTCCAGTTTCATGGGTATCTCAAGAAAGAAAATGATATTATCTTATTTCTGGAGTACATAAAAATGGTAAAACAATATTTCTTTATTAAATAACCACTGTATTATTCGATACTCACGTAAGAAAATTAAAACTGTATTATAATGTCAGTTGATTTTCGCTGAGAATGTTTGTGTTTTATTTCCAGGGCACTCTCTCCACGTTCATCAAACAACACACAAGACTCAATGAATGTTTGACAAGACGGTTTACAATTCAAATTCTGGAAGGCGTGAAGTACCTACATGAAAACAACATCTTGCATTTGGACATCAAAGGTATTACCAAATATTCATATTCTTTCTAATACTTCTAATACATGTGCACATATTATAAAGATCGAATTTAACTATTTATGGAACAAATAATTAAATTTTTATAGGTACTAATATTCTAATGGTGGATGAGTCAAACATTAAACTAACAGACTTTGGGCTGTCGACAATACTTAACGAAGAAGGTGTAGAAGCAGAAAGGGGCACAACTCGATATATGGCACCAGAGATGATTAACTGCCCTGAAGGGAGAATATTTAAACATGGTAGTAGCTTGGACATTTGGTGAGAATATTTTATTTAAATAATACTGAAGTTAATATAGGTTTTAATAAAAAAATAAAAAAAAACAATTCTAAAATCTATAATGCATTGCTTGTTTTAAGAACATCCAAATGTATTATTTTTATACCTAAGCTTCACAAACAATTATTATTGTTGTCATCGTAACCTAAACAGATATGTATTCTCAACTATTTATTTTCATTGTGCACAAATATATTTTTCTATATCCCATTTGTGTAATGTAGGGTATATAATAACACATTTTAAAATTTGCCCAGGAGTGTTGGAAGTACAGTTGTAGAGATGATAACTGGATCACCACCAAACTCAACAACGACATCAGCCAATGTACTTTTTAAAATCGCTATGCTGCAGAGACCAAAGTATGAGCTGTCAATCACAGCGTCAAAAAACCTGAGAGATTTTTTAGAAAAGACATTTACACCTGAAGCAGAACAAAGACCATCTGCAGAAGATTTATTGAGAGAAGATCCGTTTATAACAGGCAGTTTATAAATGATGACTCCATTGAACAACACATGTTTATTACTACAAACACTTATTACCAGTGGGTGTAAAAAAATAAAAGCTTGCGTAGTTCGTGGATATGAACAGTCTTAAAGATATAAAATAAATCTTTTAATAAGCCTTAAACAAGATAAAATTGTTAAATGTGTGTAGTAAATGCAAATTCGTATTTAAAATTATCCATTCAAAATATAAATTAATAACTATCCATTTTTCAAATATGTCTCTTCATAAATATATCTATAGTAAACATCCTTGTGAAATTATGTTAGCCACATTTTGCAACTAAAATAGCAAATAAAACAGTACCTCTGCGAATGTATACATTAACACCAAAACAATCACTTCATGTTGAAAACTAGTATCAAAAGTTTCAATTTTCACCACTGTGTTTTTCAATCCTAATAAACTATACTTTTAGCTACAAAAGCATAATTTTGTTTTCGCATCTTAAGAATGTTTATTAGCCAGGACTTCAATTACATACTATAAATTTTACTCTCTTAGAGATGATTAAAGAAAAATAAATTACATTTATATATATTTATTTTCTAGAACAATGTTTTTAAGTAAACGTTTTAGAAAGGATCCGATCGTTAGCTTTATTTTGTAAAATATCTTTTTTTTTACAAAAAAAAATGTTGTAGCACATATGTGTTGGTTTTAGATGTTTTGTGTTTTACGATTTCCAACCACTGGCTTGATTCCTGCCAGCCGTGACTCATCATATAAAACGTATTGGTGAATGGACATAGTGCTAAACACTTCATCTTTTTTTATGCCAATGTCACTGAAACTGCCACACGGTACTTCAGTTAAGAAAGGATAACTTCACTTTTCTTAATGAAAATATCTTTTATTTTGTTATGTACTTTTTAATGCACTTTATACATACTTATGAATATAGTAATATACTATAGCAATCCAACTGCTTTGCAACTATGTAAATCAAATACAGTTAAGATTATAAAAAAATAATTTTATATATTTATGTTATACTACTAATTTTAGATTATGTATTATCACATGAAGAACAGAGCAAGTACTATAGCTTGATGTTATATATTAAAACACATGTTGTTTAGGTCTTGCTTAGGGATCATCCATAAATGACGTCACGCTTTTTTGACGATTTTTACCTCCCCCCCTCCCCTCCGTCACACTTCGTCACAAAAAGCTAGACCCCCCCTAAAATGACGTCACACCTCAACCTACAACCCCCCTCAAAATTGCAGTTGAATTTTTTAAAAACATTGATATTTTCCCAACATTTTGTCTAAACTATTACAATTTATTAAAACAGTTATCTAAAACGCGAAATAACGTCTAAAATTCGTTTTCTAACATTGCTTTTTTATAATGCAAAAATGTGACGTCGCAACATCTGACCCCCCCCCCCCTCCCCCTCATCACACGTCGTCACAAAATTACGGACCCCCCCTCCCACCTACGAGTGTGACGTCATTTATGGATGACCCCTTAGATGCTTGAATCTGCTCTATAAAATATATTATTTCAGACGTTTTTGTAATTCTTTTATTATCAATATTATTTCAAATGTATTTAAAAAATATTTTAAAATGTTATTAAACATAGTACTAATTCACATTTTAAAGTTATCATGTCAGTTCAATTTAAATGCATGGTTTGCATTACTATCCCTATTACTAAGCATAATATACTACAAATAATTGTTTTAACATACCTGATTGAAAATACATTTATAAAAATGTAATTTTTGTTTGCAATTACTTATAGTCTCTTATTATTTTCATCTATTTCATCTATTTTTCAACAGAATATTATTGTTGATCAACTGTGTAAATCATCATAAATATATTTGCATTAAAAACGTAGCCAAAGCCAGGGTTAAAACCAGAGCCAGTTGAACATGGACAAAATTTACTTGAACGTAATTATTAGGGAGAAAAGATACTTGCTTATTCAAGGTTTTAAGTTTAGAGGCGGGGGATACTAAAACATGAAAAGCAATAAATCTAAAGTAAGGCCAAACTATAGTTTGTTATCTGCTACCAGTGTTATAATTTTAGTTATATTATCACAAATTAAACTTCATTTATTGAACGAAATATTGTATTACATGTAAAAAAATAAGCATTTTATGGTACGGCGTTTTTAACTAAAGCAAAAAGTATCTTTATAAATGGGGAAGGGATTTATTGTTACCATGTGTGGCGGAAGGGGTTGCTCAGCGTACGCTATCAACTAAATTGTATAGTAACATCCTTAAGAAGTTCATTATCAAACACCGCTGATAGGAAGATATATAAACTTCCTACTTAAAGTGACTTAACACGTACTTGAATTGTAAAATCATATATTTTTTGTGTTGTAGAAAATAAGTCAATCTCTTTCTATGTGATAAACATAAAATTATAAATCAAAAGATATTGATTGATACGATAGACCAATAATATTAGGTAAAATAAACCAAAACAATTCACGATAGGTTATTGACTAACATCGTTTGTATTGGAGACATATTGTTACCCTAAAAGCTTCAGGATAGCATGCCTTTGTTTGTTTTAATTGCAATATTTGCTTTTATTTGTGGTTTAAATATCATACAACAATGTTTCTATGTTTAAATTTTCAATTATTTGTTTTGGGTTGATCGACACAAAAATACGAATAAATACTGGTTAAGTCCCTTTTAAACTAAGCTTTAATATTCGTAATGAATATAATGAATACTTCTATTTGAAAAAAAAATGATGAAACCCCCACATCCTATTTCTCCCCCCCCCTCACCCCCTCCCTTCCCACTCCTACATATAAACACATTTACTCTTTTTCGATTGTCAAACAAAGGTAAGTTTGTACTTTTGTTAGAGTTTATTACATGTTTGAAAAGGTACATCAGAATTTATAGCAGGCTATAAATTGAACGGGTACATTATAATTTATATCGGACTTTAAAGTTCTCATATTGAGCTAAAGACATGTGTAAGGACTACTAGCAACAGTGAAACGAGTAACTTCATAAACAACGACTATAGCAATGGCTAGTGCTAGTATTTTTACTTACAATGTAATGTCATAGGTTGCAAATATTTGGTGTGCGCTAATGTCAGAACATGGCATTTGCTTATTCTCTTTTTCATATTTAAGTACTTAAAGATACTGTCGTTCTACTATGATAGGTTATACATTGTAAAAACTTACCGAAATATTTGTTTACCAGAACACTCAGACAAACTCGTGAAATACAACAAAACTAGTTTACAATACAACAAAACAAGACACACCCAAGATATTTTTACTTGCACTTGAACGGGAAATGACAATCGTTAGCTTGTTCAAGTGGGTTTTTAATGTATCTAGAGACAAACACTTAAATTATAATATTGGTTGTTTTACTCAGATGTTCTTAATGTATCTAGAGACAAACACTTAAATTATAATATTGGTTGTTTTACTCAGATGTTTTTAATGTATCTAGAGACAAACACTTAAATTATACTATTGGTTGTTTTACTCAGATGTTTTTAATCTAAACATTAGATTTACCTTCCGGACAGGCAGAGCGTATTGTCATGTATAGTGAAATGTAAATTGACAAAATTTAGACCTCTAACCAAACTATTATTTAAGACCACATCCTATAAGCATTACGCTATTTCAGCAAGCTTGATAAATACATCACATACATTATTTTCGTAAATATCAAAATGTTATCTGTCTTACATAAGCAAATATATTGTATCCTTTTATTAATACTTATAGTGCATGCTCCAAAAATATTTTTCCTTTACATTAATTACGCTAAGCTAGGCAAACGTGTAGCATTATTCCAGATTATTGATTTCGATTTTAATGACATTTTTAAACATGTAAAATGAATGTGGTCAAGTAAGTTGGTTATTACATCTGTGTTTGTGTCGTATTTAGACTGATTGTTAACATGCGGTTTAACTCAACAGGTGTTCCACTTATTTATTTAACCATAACAGTACCTATCAAAGCTTGTTAATAGAAATTTTTGAACATTTTTAGCATGATTCTATTCCATTTAGTAAATGTAAAGTTTCTAAATAACCATTTTGTCTAACTTATGGTAAATTAGATTGATTTTAGAACATTACCGAAAATTATATTTAAGAAGTGTAGCCAATTTAGTATTTCAAGTTATTTGAGTTCTTTATATGATAAATCAAATATTGCTGACATGATAGTTGACTTGAACATCGCTTGTAATCGTGGACATTGATTTACAATATAAGAAATAATGATTAAATAAAATTATTAATATTAGGGAAAAGTTACAAAAGTAAATAAAAAAACAAAATGAAAAATGGCCTGGCAGTAACCACGTGCCTTTTAAATACAAAAAATTGAATATTTATCCGATCGTCATATTATTTCAGACCTTAAAGCTATATGCAATGTCATCTGTGCTATGTTTAATTCTAACTAAAATTACGTGATAGCCATATTCAATTTAGGGGCCTAGCTGCGTTTTCGCTCCGTTTTTGCTTGTGCGTGATACCGTTAAACTTAAGTTGTCTAATTAAAAATCCGGACGCTATTGTATACTGTATTAATAAATTGTCAATAAAAATAATTTCTTAAAATACATAGCAAGAAGTTGATATTTTAAATTTTATTTTGTGAAACACTTACGTGAAATTACTAGAGGATTGGATATTTGTGAAAACAAATAACTAAACACGTCACAAACCACCAATACTTTAGTAGTTACTTCTTAGTACTACATTTACTTTATATTCAACTTTACATTTTTCCTACACTTTATTTTGGGTAAAAATATCATTTGATCTTTTAACTTTTGCTAAAGGATATACACAAATGTCTTCCTTCCAGTCACAATAAAGCGTGTTATTATGCAGGTAAAAGAAACTTTGCCTACCTGTATACTTTGAATAAACTTTTACATGTAAAAAGCAACTTTGTTTAACTTCATGCAGGTAAACAAACTTCTAAGACGACTAAATTGTGTGCTTAGAAAAAGTGATTAAAATTTGATTATAACAGCCCTAACTTTCTTCTTAATGGTGTGACCTATTACAAACAACCGACAAATCCGACTACACAGCGTTGATTGTGCAATGTTAATGTGTGTTTGTGTGCGCTTCTTACTAATTATGTGTTTATGTCTGCTGCTTTAAATTGTTGCTGGTGCAGTGTTAAAGTCTGTGTGTGTGTGTTTATTTATGTAAAAAGTAAAGTAAAGTTTCCCTTTCGAACCTGACGGTCTATGGGGCAAGTGAAGTAGAGTTCACTTGTTTCTGTGACCTCGGCATATGAAGAGATAGTGTGGTCAGCACTATGCCCAGCCGCCTTTACTTTCCCTAACGTGAGTTAGGTACCCATCAGAGTTGGGTGAACTCAGGGACGGTCTACTGTGTATGTAAGTTGTTTGAAATTGATGCTGTATTATAAAACGTGTGATAACATTCTGCTGTATATTAGCCATAGAATCTGTAGATCACCTCTCTATACACACCAACACGCGTGTTAATAGAGTGTCGCAGTCGTCTTGTAAACCTGTGTGCTTTCGACTGTGTCAGGTTTTTGAGAGTTTGACTCTCCTTTTCTCATTACATCTAGGCAAACATAATTTCTTTCAGGCAACACTCCGCGGGGTGTAATGTGCGGGGAGGGCGCTCAAAATTCGACCCCCCCCCTCTATCTTTCACTCCTGGTATATAAAAGAAAAATACATAAGTAGTATACAAATATTTACTTCAACAAGTGACCGGTTCCTGCATATTTTAAGTGGAACTCCTTTCCCCCACCTAAGTTTTAACAGGCCCTCTCAAGAGATAAAATATTTAGACGAAATCCTGCAGACAAAAATAGCATTAGACAGTTAGTTACTAGTAGGTTATAAATAATGTATAACTGATTAACGGTAATATGAAAACGAAAGTCATTTATTATAGGTCAGAGGCGTTATCATGCTCATAATGCTAAAATCATATGTATACTTAAAATTGCATTTATTTTACTCATATTTACACAACATTTACCCATTCACATGAATGTGTAGATTTTATGCTTTACTTTTCATGAGGTGTGATATGGAGGTTTAATGATCCAGATATAAAATGTATTTAATGTTTTTAGTACCTTGTAAAATTGTCCTTTACCTCCTGCCCGTGTACACAGTTACCAACAAACATGCTTAGAACATGACATGACACTATAACGGTCAGCTTGTTCACATCTCAATGACGCTTGTCCTATACACTCCACTAAATAATATAATAGGCGGTTGTCTCTTTATTTAGTGCCCTATTAGTTAGTAGCCCTAATTTTTAGTAGCCTGTTTATGTAATGCCTTATTAGTTAGTAGCCTTATTTAGTGCCTTATTAGTTACTAGCCTGTTTGTTTAGTGCCCTGTTAGTTACTAGCATGTTTATTTAGTGCCCTATTAGTTACTAGCATGTTTATTTAGTGCCCTATTAGTTACTAGCTTGTTTGTTTAGTGCCCTATTAGTTACTAGCATGTTTATTTAGTGCCCTATTAGTTAGCAGCTCTAATTTTTAGTAGCCTGTTTATGTAATGCCTTATTAGTTAGTAGCCTTATTTAGTGCCCTATTAGTTACTAGCCTGTTTATTTAGTGCCCTATTATTTAGCAGCCTGTTTATTTAGTGCCCTATTAATTAGTAGCTTGTTTATTTAGTGCCTTATTTGTTAGTAGCCTGTTTATTTAGTGCCCTATTAGTAGCCTGTTTATTTAGTGCCCTATTAGTTAGTAGTCTGATTACATATTACAGGTTAATTTTTTAGTCTCTTTATTTAGTTTTC